TTAAAAAAAAATCAGCTTTCTACTTTGATCTCAGTATATTTCCCCAAGGCTATGAAAAAAGGCACCTCTGTCAAAAAGGCAGCCACCACAATGGGTTGTGAGACAACATGATCAAGATCAGACACTCCATGTCCTAAATAAAATAAAAACACCAAACCATCAAGAAATAAGACAGATGAAGCCCTGGGTGTAAGGTCTCTCCTTTTACCTAATCAGCACTCCCGAATGTATATTAGGCCTGGCTGTGGAGTATAAATCATCATAAATTAAGTCATAACTTCTAAGGTGAAATTTCCTGACAGTTAGAACAATTAATCAGTGGGAACGGTTTGCCTGCAGAAATTATGGGTGCTTTTAACACTGGAGGTTTTTAAGAACAGATTAGACAATGATTTCTCGAAATGGTATAAGATTTCCTGCTTGAGGAGGGGGTTAGAGTAGAAGACATCCAAGGTCCCTTTCCAACTCTGTTATTTTGCTATTCTGTTTTAGGCTACAGGACCTTATGTGCTAAAGTAGTAAACCTAAAGTAAATAGGTTATTCATAGTTTTAAAATTATTTCTGAAATGTATATAGTCAGAAATGTTTACAGAGGCTTTTTTTTTTTTGCTTATTCATTTGACAGTAAAATAATTCTGAACCCTAAGGTCAGGGATTAACTTTTTTCCCACAGTGGTCATTTGTTTTTATATAGATTAGGTTCACTTCAAGTGAGACACCAGTACTGTAGCACCTCATTAAATTAGAGGAATAGTATAGAAAAGTACATCAGTATGTTTTTTAAAGATGCTCTCTTTGTACTGGTTCCTATTTATAGAATTATTGCACAAACACAATTAATGCAGACTACATACTCTCATAAATCATGCCAACTGGGTTCAGATATAATGCTAAGCCATAAGGCGTGGTTTATAAATTGCAGCAATTAACACATGCTCCAAGCAACCATTATTTCCTACCATCTGATGTGAGCCTAACCAGACAGAGATTGAAATAGCAACAGGAATCCACCATAGACTATAAATAAAGCCCGGGATCTGATTCATTTATAGAGACTTAAAAAAATATCTGCCTCCAAACAACCTTGGGTAATTTACATTATAAAAATCCAGAACAATAAAAGACACACTGCAGCAACATCAGTTAGCAAGGATTGAAGCTTTCAGAACAGCAAGAGCCAGAATTGTGTATCTCCCTTAGCATCTGAAGCAGGAAAAAAGGAGGAGGAAGAGGAGGAGGGCAGACGGTATGTTTTTAGATACACATATATAGAACAAAATAAACCTCACAGGGACATACCAGTACCCTACCCCAAAACCTGAGCATAGACAATTGTTTTCAGTGCCTTTTAGTATATCATCAAGGTGGTAGCCTTATGAATCTCTGGGGGGAGATTCTTCCCTGGCAGAGAAGGCACGTCTCCAGAGTAATAGTTAAAAAAAAGGGTGCCCAGGATGAGATGGATCTTTAAAAATGTTTTGAATTTTCTTAAGGCAGCGGGAGCTCTAAAGCTCTTCCAAAGAGGGGAGAGGGTAATCAATGATCCTCTGGACAATGATGTTAATCCTCTGGAGTGCTGTCTTATCTTTCATTGTGCAATTGGCAAACCATACATAGGTGCAGTTCCAGTAGATGGCATCGTTTAACTGTGGGGACCTGAAACACAACTACTCTGCACAACTTTATTAGGTAGGCTTGGGCTTATGCAATGAGCACATGTTATGTATTAGGCTCCCAAGAAATATTGTGCCTTCAAGAGTCACAAAAACACCAACACATATCCAAACAAGCAAGAAAGATTCTTTCAAAGTCTTTCTGGAAATAACGGCGAGGAACAATTTGATGTTTCTTATGTAAATATCAAACTCACTCTATAAATTCGCATCTTTACCTAGTCAATATAGAATTAGCAAGATAGAAAGTACTGACAGGAAGAAATACTTAAAAAGTTGGGGTTTAAGTCAAGGCATGGAAATGAATCTCTCTAGGAATTTAAACTCATAGTTCTGAGGAGTCAAAGACAAAGTTCAAGATAGAAGTTGGTGCTACTGCAGATACTGAAGAAGCTTTAACTGTAGTTGTAGTTGTAGTTGAGTTTATTTATAGGCTGCCCTTTTCCCTGAGGGGACTCAGGGCGGCTAACAACTTGTATGGGAGGGGAAGACATACAATAACATAAAAACACAATGT